CCACAGAAACCCATGTATAAGAGAGAGTTTTATATAAAGGGTAAGTGCACATCAAGAAAACATCCCAACCCAGTGCTGCCTAAGCCCACAAGTCCAAAATTAATCCATTAACCCATATGTCCAACACCAATCCACAAAGTCCTCCTCCCATCTCACAAAATACCCGCAATGATGCCAACTACAGGAGGAAAGCCGGATCAGTGAGCGTGTAAGCATCCCAGTGCTGGCAGGGGTCTCCACATGGCTGCTCCAGCACCCAGGGCTGCATCGGGGTAGGTCCATGTGGCTTCTCCTCAGGGATGTCTTGTACGAAGTCAGCCTTGCCAGTTGAATCAGGGAACTGCTAACGCAGCTGCACCCTGGTGCAACCATCACAAAGCAAGAGACCCAAGAACTCGAAAGGTGAGACTCACTGAACCATTTTATCTCTCCTCCCTTCAATTAACCCCACATGTGTTTATCGGCCAGGTTGGCATGATAAACTAACTCGCACAGTGTGGGAATTGAGCCCGATCTGACCCCACCACACGGAGACAAAACACTGAGGGTGTGCAACAAAACAGCAAGGGGAGCAGAGCAAGGAAGTCCCGAGGGAGTACCAAAAATCGACTTTGGGGCCAGGGCATGGCACCCCATCAGACCAGATAACACTCCTAAAGGTCAACAAACAGTCCTTGAACTATTTACAGGCTTTTCTTTTCTTTTTTTGTCATTGTTTTTTTGGGGGTTGTTGTTTTTCTCTTTTGTTGTTTTGTGCTGTCTTGCTTTTGTGTATATTATTTATTATCTGTGCAGGTCTATCTAGATAAGATGGGCGGGATAAACAATCTCGAGGAGAAAACAATGGGAAGAACAGTTCCAGGGGAACATGGGAGAGGGGGAAGCAGGGGAAAGGAAGTGGGTGTTAACAAACCCAGGGACAAGGGAACCACAGTGATCCAAAATGGCGAGAAGGGTGTAGGAGGCTTGGTATGGCTTGATCAAGGGCAATGTAACTGAGAGGAATTACTGAAACCCAAATGAAGGCTGAGCTTGATAGTGAGACACGAGGAAAGCAAAAGGAAATAGAGGAAAGAACTAGGAGGCAAAGGGCATTTATAGAGGTCTAAATACAGGCATGTGCATATGTAATTATATTTATATAGGATGATGGGGAAATAGACCTGCCAATAATCCAGGAAGCCACCTTAGCCCTTTTGTTACCTTTGATCAGTGACCCTGAGAGTTTGCACCGAGCTCTCCTCATTCTCTTTGCTCCTATTCCCTTCCCCAGAGGGGAGCTCGCCTTCCTGTTCACAGTGTCAGAGGGAGGAAATTGGCCCTGGGCAGAGTTGCCAGTTGATTTCCCTGAAGGAATCAGCTGCGCCCTAAACAATGCCATGGAAAATGGGATAGCTAATCCCACTAGTCTTCTAAGAAGGCCGAACCTCCTGTTTATGTGACCAAGTCCCACGTACAATTTACCATCATTTTGCTTCTGCCGAATAACCTCAAAATTGGGTGACTACTTCTGAGACAAAGGGGGGGGGGACAACACAGCACAAAACAAAACAACAACAACAAAACAGCTCTCAAAATACCCCTGCCCCAACTGTTCTTTCTCTGATACTACCTCTTCCTGCTTCACTGTTTACATAATCCAGGGACTATCAGAGGTACAGGCTGGATTCAGAAGAGGAGGTGGACCAAGCGATACCATTGCTGACGTCAGATAAAACACAGAATACCAGAAAGATGTTTACTTGTGTTTTCAACTGTGTGGATCATAACAAATTATGGAAAGCCTTGCGAAGAATAGGAATTCCATAATACTTCATTGTGCTCATGTGAAACTTGTACGTGGATCAAGAGGAAGTTGTGTGAACAGAACAAGGGAATACTGCATGATTTAAAATCAAGAAAGGTATGTGCCAAGATTGTATTCTCTCACCAAATTATTCAACTTGTATTCCGAGCAAATAATGAAGAGGCTGGACTACAGGAAGAAGAACGAGGCATCACAAGTAGAAGGCTTGCTAACAACCTTTGCTG